CCAACGGCTCACTTGCTCAACACAACCCAGCGTTACAATATGCCATAATTCCAGCCAATCAGAGACAAGGCTGCTAAATTCTGATTGGCTGCCTTGACAACTAATAACAACATTCCTGGACAGCAGAAGAGGAAAAACACAGTGCATGCATAATTATTATGCAAGTAGATATTCTGATCATATTTTTTTCCAAGCACATTTTACTAATTCCAAACGACAACAATATTAATAATACTATTAATCTTGTATTTAATCATTTATAATTGATATATAATTATTCATGAAGGCTGGAAGTGAAAAATGTCTTATATTCAGGTGTGCATAATTATTAAGCAGATTTTCTTTTACAGATAAAATGAGCCAAAAAAAGAGATTTAACTCAGACTGAAAGTCAAAAATTATTAAATGCCCATGAGAAATATTAAAAACTAATACAATACTAGAAATTGCAAAGTTAATGCATAACCATTGGACAGCAAAATGCTCAGTGGGTCAGCAGGGTCAGTCAAAAACATGTGGAGAAGAAAAGATGCATGTTAACTGCAAAAGAATTAGGAATTAAGGTGAAGAATTAGGTGAGAAATCACCAGGAACCATTTAGTCTCCAGCGCCACCATTTTCTAGAACTGCAACCTACCTATAGTCTCCAGAAGTACAAGGTGTCAGGTTCTCAGAGACTTAGGTTAAGTATAGAATCAGAAAATGACCCCTACTTAATAAGAATCACATACTGAAGTGTAGTAAAATATTGAAGAATTTATCTTCCAGAATCTGGCAGTAAGTTTTGGGAGTTAATTTTTAGTTCATCTCGAGATTTTATCTGTAGAAGATAACCTGCTTAATAATTATGCACACCTGAATATAAGGCGTTTTTCACTTCCAGCCTTCATGAACAATAATATATAGGTGATTATAAGTGATTAAATACAAGATTAATAGCAGTTATTAAGATTGATGTCGTTTGGAATTGGTAAAATGTGCTTGGAAAAAAATATGATCAGAATATCAACTTGCATAATAATTATGCATGCACTGTATTTTTCCTTTTCTGCTGTCCTGGTAATGCAAGAAATGTTGTGAGTGGTTGTCAAGGCAGCCGATCAGAATTTAGCAGCCTCATCTCTGATTGGCTGGAATTATGGCATATTGTAACG